TGTTGCTCCATAGAGTATCTCCTCTTCTTCAAAGTTGCTCCTTCAAGATCTCACTGTTGCTCCATAGAGTATTTCTTCTAAGGTCCAACTGTTGCTCCATAGCGTATCTCCTCTTCTTCAAATACCAACTGTTGCTCCATAGAGTATTTCTTCTAAGGTCCAACTGTTGCTTCCATAGAGTATCTCCTCTTCTTTAGAGTCCCACTGTTGCTTCCATAGAGTATCACAGGGAGAATCCCTGCTTTCAGGAGTCTCTTCTTGGTAGGTATAGACATATGGATGCAAGGCCCGTTTTTTGCAAAGAGACACTTTCCCCCCGAAGCTCTACAGCAAAGGGAATTGTTTCCCCAGAGTAAACACCAACCACACCAGAAAGCCATCAGTTGCCTTGCCGCAACCCGTGAGCCTGTTTGCCGAGCTCCGACCAACAGCAGCAGCTGTGTTGAAATGAGCTACTTTTAGCTTGGCACACAGCAAAGAGGAGCCGAATGACTAAACACGCTGCCTGCCTCTCAAGCCCACGTGAGCCCCGCCAGCTACGGGGGGAGGTTGGCTCAAGATGTGCTTTGGCTCCAGACGCTGCTCACTTGCGGTGTGGTCCAAAGTTTGAAAGATGTAGAAGAGAAGCAGGAAATCCAGGAAACTGAAGCCTACTTGGCTCTTGTGATGAATTCAAGCTCCAGTTTAAAGACCCATTTCCAGGGCAGATATCTTGGTTAGGGTCCTGTCTCCAGACATTTAGGAATTAAGGCTTGGCAGTTACAACCCTAGGAACCTTCATAGGGCTAAAAAGTGTAGAAGTAAAGGTTTTCCCTGGCCAGCCAGTCGTGTCTGACCCTAGTGAGGGGTGCTTATCTCCATTTCCTAGCCAAGAGACCCAGCATTTTCCAAAGATGCTTCCGTGGTAACTAGCACTGACTCTATGCCAAGGTGCCAGGAATGCTGTTATCTTCCCATCGAAGTGGTACCTGTTTACCTACTTGCCTTTTCATGATTTTGAACTACTAGGCAGGCAGGAGCTGAGGCAAGTAACGGGAGCTCACCCTGTTCTGCAGCATTTGGGTCTCGAACCTGGGCAGTCAGCTAACTTCCAGCTAACAAGCTCAGCATCTTTGATATGAAGCCATGTGACAATAGGTGGGGGGAGGGGGAAGTTAGGAGAACTTTGGAATTGAGTTGTAAGCATCTTTGGGGGAGACTGTCGTAAATTTGAATGGTCACTAAGCAACCGATCATAAGTCAAGGACTACTTAATGCAATCCTAAGTTGCATGAACAGAGGGATACAATCAAGATCAAGTGAGGTACTAAAACCACTCTATAAAGCCTTAGTAAGACCACACCTAGAATACTGCATCCAGTTTTGGTCATCATATAAAAAAGATGTTGAGACTCTAGAAAGAGTGTAGAGAAGAGCAACCAGGATGATTAGGGGACTGGAGGCTAAAACCTACAATGAACAGTTGCAAGAACTGGGCCTGGCTAGTCCAGTGAAGAGAAGGACCAGGGGAGACAGGATAGCGGTCTTCCAATATGTGAGGGGCTGCCACAGAGAGGAGGAAGGGTCAAGCTTTTTTCCAAAGCACTTGAAGCCAGACAAGGATAATGGACGGGAACTGATCAAGGAGAGATTCAACCTGGAAATAAGGAAGAATTTTCTGACAGGGAGAACAATCAACCGATGGAACAGAAGCTGCCTTCAGAGGTTGTGGAAGCTTCATCCCTGGGAGCTTTCAAGAAGAGATTGGACTGCCTTCTGTCAGAAATGGTGTAGGGTCTCCTGCTTGGATGGAGGGTTAGACTAGATGACCTATATGGTACCTTCCAACTCTGATTATCTGTTAATCTGTTAACTTTATCCTTTCAGCAAATCATTGCAAGGAAGAAAACCAAAAATAAAAGCATTCCAAAAATCAGGGAGGGAAGCAAAAATGAAACCCTGAAACAAGCCCCTCTTTTTAAGGAAACACGATTCTGGCACATTCAGTATCTGTGAAAATCCTGCTTGGTGTTTTGCCAAAGCCAGCCAATCTTTGTGTTCCCCAAAGTTCCCCAAGAAAAGTAGAAATTCTGTTGGGCTCACTCTTCTCCCTTGAAAAAGCCAACCTCGCTTAAACCCCAAAATGTGCCTTTTTTGTGTGCTCGGTAAATAATGTGGGAGCCAAGAAAGGGGGCAGGCAGTGACAATACTCTCGTAGAGTCATTATTTGATTGTTCTCCTGATGGCTCTTGTCATCCTGCTAATTACCGAAGACGTATTATCTGCACTTCAGTGGAATTGTCAAGCTTTCTTTGGGAAAGAAAAGATCTCACTCCAACGGCGCCTGGTTAATCAGCAGCCTTCCTCGACTGGAGCAGGCTGGGGGTACAACGTGCTGACAAAGATCACGGTCATCTGAAGAGGTTCAAATGATGACATGCACACCCCACAGCAAGTGACAGCAGTTGTGTCAGGTGTCCTGGGGTGATGTCTGTTGTGGTTCGCCAGCAGTCTGTGCAGACAGCAGCAGAATCGGACAGTGAGGAAGAACGGGGACCAGTCTGGGGAGGACTCGGACGAGGGTCCTGCGTCCGATGTAGAGATGGGGCCAGGACCATCTGGGAGTGGGGTGCTGCTTCTGGAGCCTCCGGAGTCTGGCAGCAGCGAGGCAGAGGAATCAGGGGAGCCTGTTCCCAGTGCGTGTGTGCGCAGAGCTGCTAGAAGGTGAGAGCAGCTGAAACAAAAGGGGCAACTAGGGAGTAAGGCTGAGAGGTGATTGCCCCTCCCATAAGGGATAAAAGTCAGGCCAAGATGACGAAACCTTTGCAGGAAGCAAAGTAGTTCTAT